GAAAGAGTTCGATTTGTTTGGAATATATGCAAAATGAAGAAGCTGTTATGTGGAGTGGTTGGTTTTACTTATCTTATGAATATATTTGAGTTAAGTCTATTCATCTTTTCCACCTTAACCATAAGACACGTTACAACCCTTGAAAAGTCCCTATGATTCTTGTAAAGCATGTGATCCAAATGGTGGTAAATGAGAAGATATACAAGCATATGGTAGAGCATCTCTATTGGAATGAATTTGAGCAAAACACTTACCCTTTAAACACATGAGGGTTGAGTGCTTATATCCGTGAGGGTCTACATGTATACTTTACTCCGTCTTCATATGAAATTGCTTGCTAATTGATTATGAGTTGTGTGAGAATGTTTATTCATGATGTGTTATATGGTTTGAGAAAGTCTGATTGTTCTATATTCATGGCATTACGACCTGGTGTTTTTGGGGATTAAATTTAAGTTTTACCCGAGAACAAACAAAAGCTAAGTGTGGGGGAATTTGATATAATGTAAAATGTATAGTTTTTCCTCTTTATTTAATACGCTCGTATAATTATTTTATGTCAAAATGTACTTATTACTCGCACATTTTGATTTAGGTGGGAATTCTATGGATATGGCGTAATTTGGAAGAAATAAGCGAACAATGGCCAAAAGGAAAGAAAACGAAGTTTGGGGACCGAAATGTAAATGCACAAAAATTGTGTCAAACCAAACGATGAAGATTTTAGAGTCAATTGGTTGAAAGAAAACGTCAAATGGATAAAATATCATCAAAGTATGATCAAACATCAATTTCCAATCGAAAAATTATATACCAGTTTTCAGCCTCATATTGAGATCCATGTTTGATATGGTAAACGATCAAATTAGAAGATGATATCTTGTGTTATCTTTCTAACTCATCTTGAATCGCCTCAATCAAATATCGGGAGAGAAAGTTATGTCAAAAATACTTAGAGCTCTTCAGCTGTCGAAAATTAGCCGAGGCGCGCTCCTTTACCTATAGAAGAGGCACGCGTCCCAAATCAAAAATGCCTCGCTTAAGGCTTCCAAACCCCCCAAGGCACACGCCCTAGGTTGTATTAGGGCTGCGCCTCAAGGATAAAAAGGGAAAAGATCCAATTTTCCTTTTTTTGTTTAATTACTTATGGAAACTTTTTTGACGCGTTTTTCTTGACCTAAATTCGACCAAAAGACGCAAGAACACCTCCAACCTATTTTCTCTCTATTTTTCTTAGATCTATCATGTGTAACTAACTCTTGGTGCTTGATTGAACGATACCGAAGCTTTGAAAAACATTATAACTGTATGATCCACCTATTTTCATTGTTTAATTTATATTTTCAGTATTAAACATTCTTCTATGCATAATTTTATGATTGCCATATTTGATTGGTAAGTGATCTATTAGTTTTTCATATATTGCAATCTATAACTAAGTTAAATCTCAAATCCGTAATTTTTTGAATCATTTAACTTGTGAAGCACTAGGATTTGATAATTTTATGCGATAGATGTTATTGAATTTTAAGAAAAATGTTTAAATAGATTGAATGTAACTGCTGGTATTTATGTTATCTAGTTTTTCGATTTTTCTATTGTGTAAAGTTGTTATTAAATTGAATTTTTAGCGCTGATTCGGGGTTATTTAATAATTAGGGTTAATTAGAACGTTGATTTTTAACTGACTAAAATTAAGAAGAAATGGGAATTCTTTCCAACTGTAAATATTTGAAATATGAATTGAATTATCCTTACATTTATGATCAATCGTGGATTTTCGACGATGGATGTGAATTTAGACTAAGGTTAGTCTTTTAATTGTTTTCGTTAATTTAATTTTCATTGTTGTTAATTGCGTCATTTACAATTGTTTGCATACAAAATCCCCCCAATCATTATACGAAACATAATTGAATTACATATTTTTCGTGAAATCGACTATTACTTCCACTACTACATTAGTTTTAGAGATTAAGGTATTACTTTTTGATGCCTGCGACAGCACACAGCACAAACATTTAACAAAACAAATTTTGAAAATTTTGAAAGTAAGTCCATGCTAATATGATCTAATCTTCTATCTTATAACCAAGTATCATATTTTAAAATTGATAAACATTTTTTCCACATACAAACTTAGTATTTATGACATAAACATTCTTACTTTAACTTCCTATAAACATCACCTCTTTTGATGTAGTATCCTCAATAATGCACTTAGAATAATCAAATTTAATATGATAACATTCATCACAGAATTGATAAAAACTATGCAGATTACGAATAAAGTTATCTACCAAGAAGATATTTTCAATAAAGGGAGATGAATGATTACCAATAATTTCAATGTCAATGATTTTTCCTTTTACATTATCTCCAAAAGTATCATGAATACCGTCCTTTATTTTGAAACTTGACAGTAAAGTTTGATTTCCGGTCACATGCTTTGAGCATCCATTATCCAAGGTCCATTTGCTCTCTATTTTCATTGGTACCTACAAAAATAATTCAATTTTTTATTTTTGGTACACATATATCCTTGGGTTCTCGATAGTTATTGTTACTGAATTTTTTAATTCACTTATAGTTGTCTTCAAAATGTAATTTCTTTTTTATAGAACAATAAAAAACATGTTCATTTTTATTGCAAATATTACGTGTGAAATTTGAAATAGGAGAAGTGGAAGCTTTAACAACGAAATTTTTAAGAGCCCTTTGTTTCAAAAATGGTTTATATCAAATTCCTCTTTTATCAAAAATACATTTTTGCTCACAAAGCATTAAATCAAAAAACTTCTTGCTTGAAGTAAATTTGTGAATAATTTGAGTCAAATCTAAAATCATTTCTTGTAAATAAGAATTCTCCTTAATTAAAGAATCATAATCGACTTTTCCTTTTTTCAAAATCATTTT